GGAATACTATTCAGCCATCAGAAAGAATGTATACTTATCATTTGCATCGATGCGGATGGAACTGAAGGGTATTATGCTGAGTGAAATAAGTCAATCAGAGGAATACAATTATCATATGGTATTACTCATATGTGGAATATAGGAAATAGCAAACAGGATCATAGGGGAAAGGAGGCCAAATTGAATGGGAAGTCATCCGAGAGGGAGAAAAACCATGAGAGACTCTTAATTATAGGAAATAAAGTGAGGGTTGCTGGAGGGGAGATGGGTGGGGGATGGGGTAATTGGGTGATAGGCATTAAGGAGGGCACGTGATGTGATGAGAATTGGGTTTTATACACAACCATAAATTGCTGAACACTAAATATGCCAGCTAATTGAATTCAAATTAAAAAAAAATAGAAGACTCTACCTTTTAAGATTATAATATGGTAGGGAATTGAGGATATAGTAATAATTATAGTAATGATGATGATGGTTGGAGGAGAGAGAGGAAAAAGAAGAAATAACATTCACTAAGCATTTATTATATGCCAGAAATTGTGTTACATGCTTTAAATGATATTATGCCTTATAACAATCCTAGAGATGTATAATGTTATTTTTCTGATTTTTTATCTAAGGAAATTGAGGCACAAAGATGTGAACTAGGTGTCACGTATCAAGAAATGGAAGAGTGATAATTTCAACATAGTGCTTAGCCAAAAGCTAGTGCTTTTAAGGACTAGAGTCCATAATTACATAAATTATATAATACAGGATAGAATAAGGTGTTATGAGAGAATCAAGTAAAAGTGATTGAGCCATTTGAAGAAATAGCACATCCTTTTTGTAGCTCAAGAAAGATTAGGAAAGTCATTCCAGTTCTAAAATACTAGATATTTTTGAATGTCTGGCTACAAATTACATGACTCAACAAAAGTAGCTCCAAACCTACATCACAAAAGTGTTTTTTTTTTTTTGGTAAAATAAATATGATCAAACAGAAAATAACTACAGAGTTACAATGTGCAACTTTCAAAGGTTCAACCTTCTCTTCAGATAGTTATAATAAACAAAGGAACTATTACAAGATACAAAACCAGATACCCACATTTTATTCACTCTTCTTAATTCCAATCTAATTCATTATTTTTCAGCCTGAGATTTTTCTTTTTTTTAATAAATTTATTTTTTATTGGTGTTCAATTTACCAACATACAGAATAACACCCAGTGCTCATCCCGTCAAGTGCCCCCCTCAGTGCCCGTCACCCATTCACCCCCACCCTCCTCCCCGTCCACCACCCCTAGTTCATTTCCCAGAGTTAGGAGTCTTTATGTTCTGTCTCCCTTTCTGATATTTCCCACACATTTCTTCTCCCTTCCCTTATATTCCCTTTCACTATTATGAGATCTTTTTCTTTTTTAAAATTTTATTTACTTGAGAGAGTGAGAGAGTATGATCTGGGGGAAAGGAAGAAGCAGGCTCCCCACCAAGCAAGGAACCAAATGCCAGATTTGATCCCAGGACCCTGGGATCATGACCAGAGCTGAAGGAAGATGCAAGACAGATAGATACTTAACCAACTGAGATACCCAGGCACCCCAGCCTGAGATCTTTCAAATTCTTTTTGTGCTCACAGTTACATTCCTAATCTACATTGTATTGATTTTCCCTGCCTATCTACTTTCTTGTTGCTTTTCTGACTGTTTCTCTTCTCATAGTCAGTTAGTTGAATATTATGGCTAAAGCTATTCTTTTTAAAAGTTTTTTTTAATTTTAAATCCGTTAGTTAACATGCAGTCTTATATTAGTTTCAGGTGTACAATATAATAATTTAAGACTTCCATACATTACCCTGTGTTCATCACAAGTGCACTCAATCCTCATCCACCTCATTCCCCCACCCACCTTCCTTCTGGTAGCTATCAGTTTATTCTCTGTAATTAGGAGGCTGCTTTTTAGTTTACCTCTCTTTTCCCCCCTTTGCTCATTTGTTTTGTTTCTTAAATTCCACATATGAGTGAAATCATATGGGTATTTGTCTTCCTCTGACTTACTTCACTTAGCGTAATACTCTCTAGCTCCATCCCCATCGCTGCAAATGGCAAGATTTCATTCTTTTTTTGTGACTAATATTCCATTATATATATATGTGTGTGTGTGTGTGTGTGTGTGTGTGTGTATACACATATATACCACTTTTTTATCTATTCGTCAGTTGATGGACACTTGAGTTATTTCCATAATTTGGCTACTACAGGTACTGCTATTTGAGTGCACACATCCCTTTGAATTATTTTTGTATCCTCTGGGTAAATACCTAGTAGAACAATTGCTGGATCATAGGGTAGTTCTATTTTTAACTTCCTTATGAATCATATAAAGCAAGTCACTAATAACTCAAGTGCTTTTCACATAAGGGATAAATTATTTTGTTTTCAATCTGGAGCCTACATGTTAAATGTTCACCTAAATCTATTTAATCTATTGTCCTCTACATAGTTCCATTTCACTTTATCATATCATCTATACTTATATGTAAGAAAAAAAGAATTCCTCTTCCTTATCAAATCCCCAAGAATGCTTTTAAAATTTCCTTCCTGAAGTCTTTACTGGAATATTATTTTGGCTATAATCAGAGCAATAATGAAATAGTTTTACATTCCAGATAGTCAGCATTGCTGATAAACATAAAATGTTATCCTAGACCACCCACTTCCTCAGTCATTACATAAAAGCTAGTGCAAATAAAATGACACTTCCTTCTACTATGGCAAAAATGATCACCTCTGAAACAATCTGAAAAAATATATTATAGAAGACACATGAATTATTTTATGTAAATAACAAAACAGACATTCTATAATGTTATGATATTAGATTAGGTTAGGTGATGCTGTGGTAATAAAAAAAAAGACCCAAAATCTCAGTGGGTTAACATATAACAGTTTATTTCTTACTCTCAAAACGTACACTGCAAGTCCATCAGCTCTCCAGGGCAGGTCCCTTATAAACAGTAATTTAGAGATACAGGCTGCATCCATCTTATAAGTATGTCATTTAGAATACATTGCTTTCAGGTCACCATTGTAGGTAAAGAGAGAGCTTCATGGTCATGAAGAATATTTTGCTGCTCCAGTATTGAAATGACACCTCATTTCTGTTTACAACTTCTCTAATCCCTCTGCTACAAGTATTAAAATGGCATTGCCTAACTAGAAAGGGCTAGGAAGTGAATAGGAGCACACAGATATTTGGTAAGCTGTTAATGTCATTGCTATATTGTACAAATAATATAAGATTATTTTTATATTTTAATGAAAAACAATTTTGGAAAACTCTATATGGATATAAAATATCCCTTAAATACAATATTTTTATCAGCATAGTTTTTTTGTTTTGTTTTTTTTTTAGAAAACAACTTTATGAAGTTTTAAGGTGATCTAACAAGACATTACATTTATAATGTTTCAAGAGCCTTACTGAGAGATTCTGATATTTCAACTGCAAAAATTTGGGGAGCCAATATTTATTAACTTGATGTTTTCTATCTTTGTAATGACTTTACCTGTAATTCAACAGAGCTGATATGAAATCAGCTATTAAAAATAGCTATCAATTCTCCCATCATGCCAAAATACTCTGTAAATATGACATTACAATTAGCACATCCTCTGTAACAGGTGGCTTTTTTTTGAGACATCAATTGATAACTTGTATTACTCCAATATATATATAAAATAAAAATAATTCTCAACTTATTTCAGCATTACTGGTAAACATGAACCAGCAACAAACACGAGGCACCAAAACTTAGTAAAATATGACACAGGAAGATCAAAGATGTCATTATCTCCTAAATTGAACTCCTATTTTAATTCAATACTAATGTTTAACACATGGAACTTTTAAACAGCATACTTACTAAGATTTTGGCAGTAGTTTTATGTAACAAGACACATAGCATACTAGAGGTCTGGCATTTAACTTGCTTACAGTGAACAAGCTTCAATATGAAGGCATTAATTTTTAAAAAAAAAACCTTCTTTTTACATGCTATTTTATCAAGTGTGCAATTAAAACTAGTAATGAAATACAGTTAGATTAAGAAATTGCAAACTTGTATCCTAAGCACAAATCATATAAAAAGGATTACTGGTTGTATAGAATATCCTTGTATAATCAAAAATCAATAGTATAAAACATGCAAAATATTTCAGAATCTTTATTAATCAAAAAATACCAGGGTTTATTTAAAATGATTCCCCTCAAAGGGTATCAAAGTTAATTCAAATAATGTAACACTCTAATGCTAAACATTATTCAGTACTGTTGAAGTGAAGGTAAATTTCATAGAACTGGGGGCTTACCTACACTTCCTGTCTTCTTGTTCACTTGAAACAGCATACAACATCCCAGAATTTCACTCAATAAGAAAAGAATGGTTGCTGCACTGGCAAAAATAGGATGTGTAAAGATCAAAGGCACACTATTCAGCTAGCCAAAGTGATATCAAACTCCCCCCCCCACAAGCCCTTTCCCCATGTAAACTAAAATTTATTAAGAAGTAAAATAATCTTCAAGAGTAAGGATTTTGATATTAATACATGTTTCAAAAATGTCAACTATAGTCATCTAGATATTTCTGATTATATTTTAAAGATTTATCTGAATTATATACTTTTAAATTAGATGTATTTTGGGGGTCAAAATTATCTAAAACATTTAAGTCAATTCCAAATGTTTTAACCACTAATATGAACAACAGGATTTTAGCTCTCAGAAGAATCAACAACTGGAAGGAAAAACACAAAAACAAACAAAATTATATATTTATGCTGCAGGCAACGATTATGGCCCTTTCTGGCACAGTGGCATATGACTGGCACTCAGTCCAGGTATAATTCTACTAGCACAGGGAAATACATGCATTTTGGTAAATATGACTTAACATTCACAGTTGTTTTTCTTAAATCCTTGCTTTTTAAAATAGGAAAATCTTAACTTTTTTCTTGTTATCCTGACTTGTGACTTGAACCCGACTTCTTTTTCTTCTTCTTACTATGTTTCTTGTGCTGTTTCTTCTTCCTCTTCTTCTTCTTCTTCTTCGCTTTTTCTGGCTCTTCATGTCTTCTCTTCTTTTTTGCTTGCACTTCCTCTTCATAATCTGATTCTGATGAGGATTCTGAAGACAAAGGTTTATCTTCAGGATAAGTCTTCTTTCTTTTTTTGCTGAGACTTCTAATATACTTTTCTTTCTCTGTTTCATCTTTTGACTTCTTTTTCTTTTTTACAGATTCCTTGCTTTCTGATGATTTGTATGAATGGTTCTTCTTTTTCTTTCTCTTTTTTCCTTGTTTCTTTTCCTCATTCTCAGAATCTGAACTGCTTGAAGAATCAGAGCTTGATGAAGAAGATGAAGATCGACAAGATTTCTTCTTTTTCTTTTTCTTTTTTTCCCTTTTCTTAGAAGACCTCTCATTTCCACTCAATAATTTCTCTCTGCTTTTTTCTAATTCTTTTTTCCAATTCTCATTCATTTTTTCTTCAAATTCAGCTAATGCCTTGGAGCCTTTCTTTTTATTTTCTAATTGTTTCTTCACTTCTTCCCAGGTAGGCCTTGGCCGATTCAGATAATCTTGTATTGTTGGGCCTGTAGACTGAGTTGGGCCCCTCCATCTGGCCATTGCTATAGGATTCATATAGGCCACTCGATTATCCCGCTTCCCCATTGTGCCTAATGGTTCCAAGAGCAGACTCTCAATGCTAAGAAGAATAAAGATAAACCCTTCTTTGGTTCTTCACCTGCTGATATATCAAGCAGGCCCCATTCTGTTAGGGAAGCAGAAGGAAATGGTTACAAAACACCTTTAATATATATACAGCAAAACACATTGGTTTAATTGTTCACTATAATATAGTACAGTAGAAATTTTTAAAATTTTAGACCTTGGGAACAAAGAATATACACATTTAAGACTTTTGCATACTTTAGATATTGTGGTATGAATATAACAATGGATTTAATATACCCCATATAAGGTTCTGACTTATCTAAATTTTAAATAAATACTTCCTTTTATATTATATGATATTTTTCTTTCCTTCATTTGGCCTTATACAGTATAAAAAGATAAATTTCTATAGCTAAATTCTATGTGAAGCAGATCTCCTCCAATTTAAAAAAGTGCAGCATAATCCACTCCGCTCTGACAGAAACCTAGGAATCATACCTGAAAAATTCTCTCCCTCAATCTCACATCTAATCCATTAGTATAACTGCTTTTTAAGACTTCACAATAGGTTCCATACGCATTCACTTCTCTCCAAATATATTGTCATCAATTTAGTCCAGGCACTATCATCTCTCACTTGGATTATTAATCTCTAGTATTGATTAAATGTTATCTGCCAGGGACTGCTTAGTGTTTTGCAGTGGATTATCTTATTCAATCTCTAGACTAATCCTATGAGGTTGATTCTATTATTATTTGTATTTCACAGTTGAATAAACTGGTCTTAGAGAATTTGACTAATTTGCATAAAGTAGCAGTTAATAAATGTCCAAATTAGGATTTAAACCAAAGCAGCCTGACTCCAAGCCCTGAACACCTAACATAACACTCTATTATCTCTTTACATCAGCCTCTTGATAACCTTGTTTCTGGGATCCCTGGGTGGCGCAGTGGTTTGGCGCCTGCCTTTGGCCCAGGGCGCGATCCTGGAGACCCAGGATTGAATCCCACATCGGGCTCCCAGTGCATGGAGCCTGCTTCTCCCTCTGCCTATGTCTCTGCCTCTCTCTCTCTCTCTGTGACTATCATAAAATTAAAAAAACACCTTGTTTCTTTTTTTAAAAAATTTTTATTAATAATAAATTTACTTTTTATTGGTGTTCAATTTGCCAACATACAAAATAACACCCAGTGCTCATCCTGTCAAGGGCCCCCCTCAGCGCCTGTCACCGATTCACCCCCACTCCCCGCCGTCCTCCCCTTCCACCACCCCTAGGTCGTTTCCCAGAGTTAGGAGTCTTTATGTTCTGTCTCCCTTTCTGATATTTCCTACCCATTTCTTCTCCCTTCCCTTCTATTCCCTTTCACTATTATTTATATTCCCCAAATGAATGAGAACATATAATGTTTCTCCTTCTCCGATTGACTTATTTCACTCAGCATAATACCCTCCAGTTCCATCCATGTTGAAGCAAATGGTGGGTATTTGTCACTTCTAATGATAACCTTGTTTCTACCCTTACTCTTTCATTCCAGCCCCACACTACCATCAGTAGGTCTTAAAACACTACAGTGGCCTTATATTTTAATGACAATCAAATTCAAACTCTTATAGAAGTCCTATAAGATCTGCCCTGCTTTTCTCTCTTACTTTAATCACTCATTTTCTCAATTCTATGTTCTCATATATTTCCTTGGTTTCTGGAATATGAGAAGCTCCAAGCTTAGCCATCATGGCTAGTGCTACCCCATCCTTCAGGTCTCAATTTATTTATATATTTATTTTTATTTATATACTTATTATTAGAAAGGGGGGAAGGTCAGAGGAAGAGAGAGAGGGAGAATCTTAAGCAGGCTCCATGCCAAGATCAGAGTCCAACGTGGGGCTTGAGGTTCCAACACTGAGATCATGACTTAACTAAAATTAAGAGTTGGATACTTAACCAACTGAGCCACCCAGGTGCCCAGGTCTTGGCTTAATGGTCAATTCCTCTGAAAGGAAACTATTAGTTTAGACTACATAAAATTGCCAATTATATGGTCAGACACAGTCATATACCAGCAACTTCATATGTATCCACCTTATATTAAAGTATGTTGCCTTTGAATCTACCCTTCATATATATTATTCTGTATCACAGAGCCTTGTGTCTTTTATTCACAGCACTTAGCAAACTGGTGATTATTGTGTGTGTGTGTGTGTGTGTGTGTGTGTGTGTGTGTATCCATTACTAATGATAAGGCCGAGAAAAATAAAGGTCATGTTTAATCTGTCTTATTCACCATGGTGTTTCTAGTATCTACCATGCCCTGTGGCTCATATTAAGTAGTCAATAAGTATTGGTTCAGTAGTAACAAACAAATGAATGGATAGATGGGTGTATGGCTCTGAGGGAAAGGAGAATTCAGGGTAGCTTCCTAGAGATGGTGATGGTCTGCACAGGATTTTATTTTATTTTTTAAATTTTTTTATTGGAGTTCCATTTGCCAGCAGATAGCATAATCTCATCCCTCCAAGTGCTCATCCTGCGAAGTGCCGCCCTCAGTGTCCATCACCCAGTCACCAAAACCCCCAACGCACCTGCTCTTCCACCACCCCTTGTTAATTTTCCAGAGTTAGCTGTCTCTCATGTTTTGTCACCCTCACTGATATTTTCACTCATTTGCTCTCCTTTCCCTTTATTCCCTTTCACTAACTTTTATATTTCCCAAATGAATGAGACCATATAATGTGTGTCTTTCTCCGATTGACTTACTTCACTCAGCATAATACTGTCCAGTTCCATCCACGTCGAAGCGAATGGTGGGTATTTGTCATTCCTAAAGGCTGAGTAATATTCCATTATATATATATAACATATCTTCTTTACCCATTCATCTTTCGATGGACACCGAGGCTCCTTCCCAGTTTGGCTATTGTGGACATTTTTGCTATAAACATTGGGGTGCAGGTGCCCTGGCGTTTCACTGCATCTGTAACTTGGGGTAGGTAAATCCCCAGAAGTGCAATTAGTGGGTCATAGGGCAGTTCTATTTTTTACTCTTTGAGGAACCTCCACAAAGTTTTCCAGCATGGCTGTAACCAATTCACATTCCCACCAACAGTACAAGAGGGTTCCCCTTTCTCCACATCCTCTCCAACATTTGTTGTTTCCTGTCTTGTTAATTTTCCCCATTCTCACTGGTGTGAGGTGGAATCTCATTGTGGTTTTGATTTGTATTTCCCTGATGGCAAGTGATGCGGAGCATTTTCTCATGTGCTTCTGGGCCATGTCTATGTCTTCCTCTGTGAAATTTCTGTACATGTCTTTTTCCCATTTCATGATTGGATTGTTTCTTTGCTGTTGAGTTTAAGGAGATCTTTATAGATCTTGGATACTAGCCCTTTATCTGATATGATATTTGCAAATATCTTTCCCATTCTGTAGGTTGTCTTTTAGTTTGTTGACTGTTTCTTTTGCTGTGCAAAAGCTTTTCTTGATGAAGTCCCAATAGTTCATTTTTGCTTTTGTTTCTTTTGCCTTCCTGGATGTATCTTGCAAGAAGTTGCTGTGGCCAAGTTCAAAAAGGGTGTTGCCTGTGTTCTCCTCTAGGATTTTGATGAAATCTTGTCTCACACTTAGATCTTTCATACATTTTGAGTTTATCTTTGTGTATGATGTAAGAGAATGGTCTAATTTCATTCTTCTGCACATGGATGTCCAATTTTCCCGGCACCATTTATTGAAATGGTTTGGGCGACTGTCTTTTTTCCAGTGGATAGTCTTTCTTGCTTTGTTGAATGTTAGTTGACCATAAAGTTGAGGGTCCACATCTGGATTCTCTGTTCAGTTCCATTGATATATCTCTCTGTTTACTGTCTTGATGACCACAGATTTGTAGTACAACCTGAAATCTGGCATTGTAATGCCCCCAGCTATGGTTTTCTTTTTTAATATTCACCTGGCTATTCGGGGTCTTTTCTGATTCCACACAAATCTTAAGATAATTTGTTCCAACGCTCTGAAGAAAGTCCATGGTATTTTCATAGGAATTGCATTAAACGTGTAAATTGCCCTAGGTAGCACTGACATTTTCACAATATTAATTCTGCCAATCCATGAGCATGGAATATTTTCCATCTCTTCGTGTCTTCCTCAATTTCTTTCAGAAGTGTTCTGTAGTTTTCAGGGTATAGATCCTTTACCTCTTTGGTTAGGTTTATTCCTAGGTATCTTACGCTTTTGGGTGCAATTGTAAATCGGATTGACTCTTTCTCTTTCTTCAGTCTCATTGTTAGCGCGTAGAAATGCCACTGATTTATGGGCATTGATTTTGTATCCTGCCACACTGCCGAACTGCCATATGAGTTGTAGCAATCTTGGGGTGGAGTCTTTTGGATTTTATATATATACAGTATGATGTCATCTGCAAAGAGGGAGAGTTTGATTTCTTCTTTTCCATTTGAATGCCTTGTATTTCTTTTTGTTGCCTGATTGCCAAGGCTAGGACTTCTACTACTATGTTGAATAGCAGTGGTGAGAGTGGACATCCCTGTCATGTTCCTGATCTTAGGGGAAAGGCTCCCAGTGTTTCCCCATTGAGAATGATATTTGCTGTGGGCTTTTCGTAGATGGCTTTTAAGATGCTGAGGAATGTTCCCCCTATCCCTGCACTCTGAAGAGTTCTGATCAGGAATGGATGTTGTATTTTGTCAAATCCTTTCTCTACATCTAATGATAGGATCATATGGTTCTTGTTTTTTCTCTTGTTGATATGATCTATCACATTGATGGCTTTACAAGTGTTGAGCCAACCTTGCATCTCAGGGATAAATCCCACTTGGTCATGGTGAATAATCTTTCTTTCTTTCTTTCTTTCTTTCTTTCTTTCTTTCTTCCTTCAGAGAGAGAGAGAGAGAGAGAGAGAGAGAGGCAGAGTGAGAGGGAGAAGCAGGCTCCATGCAGGGAGCCCAATGCAGGACTCGATCCCAGGTCTCCAGGATCACTCCCAGGCTG